TTCCAACTTTGCAAGGACAGTCTGGCGCTTCTGACTCACAGCCTGTAAGTACATATTTATATTTAAAGGATTTGCCACTGACGATTCAAACGTGAGTTTTGAGCAGTGTAGAGTAGCACTTGTTTGTCATTTCTCCGATCACAAATGCAAACATGGTTTTATGTTTACGCGGCGCAATGCAACGAGTAAAAAGACAGTATAATGTTGCACTGGATGCACCAAATGCCTCGTTAATAATGGGTTTTAATGTTTTTGAATCATCGCTCCGGCCGGACACGGCATCACAGTATGGTAAGGGGCGTAACATTTCCGTCACACGCTTGAGGTATTCGGCCAATCACAACGCACTGGATAGCTGGCCAATCACAGCACACCTCGCTTTTCAGACCGATGAGCTTTGTAAAAATCGACTCGTTTCAGAAAGGCGGGGCATAGAGGAGAAACAATGTACAGTATGTGGAAAATAATGTGTTTTTTGAATTTTAAACCGCATGAACACTTCATTACACCAAATAATGTTCTTTTTAGCAGCACCATATGACCCCTTTAAATCGACATGAACATTTCAGAATGCTAAAACAAAAAATATAAAAGTGTATGTATAAAAAAGTATATATTTTACATAAAGAAAATTCTGCCTGTATTTAGGACTATTACTATTTTCAGTGTAACTTTACTGTCATAATTAATTAAAAAAATCAAATCCCACTCTAATTCCCATTATTCTCAAGTGATTTTCATACGCAATACCACAAGTACATAAAAATTGTTTTTAAAAAAAAAATCAGCATCAAGACAGTACAACAAATATTACCATGGTGTGTATAAATATTTAGCAATTTTCACATTACAATCTGAATATTTAATGGAAATGTGCTTAATTGTCACATAAAAAAAAAACATTATTGGTCCTAAAATGGGCTTAATTTTTTAATTCATGCTCTGGACTGCTTACACAGCCAAAACGATTTTCTGTTGTAATCAACATCAAACCAAAGACTTGTATTATGTATTGTACTATGACTTGTATTGAACTCCTATTCCTTCAAAGGTACTTGATGATCACTTTTATTAATCATATGTCAATAAAATGATACCATGCATGATTATGTTTCACTTCTGGTTTAATTACCTATAGGTCTGAGTCCAAACTAACCACCACCGTATCACCGATCAGCATCAGATCAGTGTATGGTGAGCAGACCACAGCACCAGACGAGTCTAGTATGATATGGAGAATGAGTCTGCAAAGGTTTTATGCAGAAATTTAATAACCGCTGTTCGTCCGATCCAAATTAATGGGTGAACCTCACATGTCCGGGTCACATTTCAATCCAAAATCAGATTACAAAAGATGCAATTCATTTTTCCATGAAGATCTTTTGCATTGCGACTCAATTTTCATGATAATCAAGAACATTTCTCACAGAATTCAGCTTTACAGTAATCATAAATGAGGTGAAATACAACCTGGACTTCGTGAGACCCACCCTGGAGTTGATGAAAACATCCAGACTATTATCAGTCGAACTAGCTCTGTGATCGAGTATGTGTGCGTGTGCTTCGCCTGCGTCTTTTGGAGGAGAATTTCCTGCGAGAGTATTTGAGACGGTATGCGGATGACAGATTTCCAAAAATGTGTGATGCTAAGGGTTCAAATATCGCTGTGTTTTTTTTTTTTAACTCCAAAACACTGAATTCTGATTGTCTGGAGGTCATAAAAAATCCAAACACACACGTACAAAAGAAAAGAAACTAATAAATAGTACAAATGTAATCAATGTTTCGCCCATTCTTTCAGTTCTGGAAGTCCTAAATTCATCGTCAAATCATTTGCGCTGAATTCTTTGTAGTGTTTGTGTGATATTTTGAAATATCGGGATGGGGTGGATATGTACAAACACCAGTGCAGAGAAGCATCTCTCTCATTTGTGCATCTGGCGCTCTTAAAGTGTAAACAGCTTTTTCATTTAAATCGTTCTTTGTGAACACGTCCATCCGTATGTTCAGACCATGTGAAGCGGTTCACCTGTTTCACAGTCTGAAGACATTATTTGGTAAACTGCTCCCCTTCAGAAACACCGTCTGAAGTCCAGGGGCTTGTTTCGGTGTTCCTGTAAGCGATTCCTTCCTCGTCCTCCATGCGTGTCTGTCTGTGCCATATGAGAGGATGGGATAACAGCAGAGAGGTGTTCAGGAAGCTGACCGAGGTATCAAGACTCTTCAGTCTCCACAGGAACAGGCTGCGGTGGTTTATTCAGCACTGCTTCAGCTTCATCATACAGCTGGAGATAGAAACAGAGTCAAACACTTGTGGTCGACTGATATGGGTTTTTACAAGTCATAATATTTGATTCAAAAATTGCTGAAAAATATTTACATTTAGGCTACCAAGGCTCGCTAAGGCTCCATTTATTAATCAAAAATACAGAAAAAGTCAGTAATATTTTTACAACTTCAAATAATTGTTTTCTATTTGAATATATTTTGAAGTGTAATTTATTTTTGAGATGCAAAGCTGAATTTTCAGCATCATTACTCCAGTCTTCAGCATCACATGATCCTTCAGAAATCATTCAGATGTGCTGATTTGCTGCTCAAGAAACATTTCATCATCGATGTTGAAAACAGTTGTGATGCTTAATATTTTTGTGTAAACTGTGATACATTTTTTTCAGGATTCTTTGATGAATAGAAAGTTCAAAATTGACCTGAAAGAGAAATCGGTCTTTAAAATGTCACTTTTGACCAATTTAATGCATCCTTGTTGAATAAAAGTAATATATGTGTGTGTGTGTGTGTGTGTGTATGCTTATTCATGTTTTTAATGCAAAATTACATGGGAAAGTTGTAATTGTTCTATATTTTGTAGTGTTCAAATTTGATAGTATAATAAAAAATATTAAAATATAATTGGAGAAAAAAAAGAAAGTAAAAACCTGCGTCAGAATTTACGTCATATTTAATTTGACACTAATAAAAAAAAAAAATTATTAAAAAAAACAATACCAAATACTGTGCTGATAACTGTAATTTAAGTAATATTCTTATTTTTATTACTACTTTTATTTATTAATTATTATTTTATTTTACTCCATAAAATGTTGTCAAAATGAGCTTTTAATTCTGAAGGTCCCTAGTATACAGTCTGTAAACAGATGTAGAAGTTACAAACTACAAACTTCTCTGAGCAATCAGTCCTTTGGTCTGAAGTATTTTGGTGGAGATTTGTTATAGAGGCATTCAGGAGAGACGCCGTACCGGAATGAACTGCACATCCTGGAAGAGCTCTTGGATGAAGCGGCGTGAGGCCAGACGAAACCTGCAGTTGGCCAGCAGGAAGGACACCTCAGAGTACAGGCAGATGTCATCAAAAGTGAACGCAAACTTCTCCTTTATCCTGCAGAGGGCAGCAGCACGTCACGTGGGCATAAAGCAAACACTGAACACACACTCGCACAGTATTTCTCGGTTGTTCTTACGTGAGCAGTCCGGTTTCGTGTCCTTTGGTGCCGACTGAAGAGCTGAGGTTGATGACGAGTCGCAGAACCTCTTTCCTCAACAGAACTCTGCAGGCCGGTCCATCCTCAGATATCGCCTTTCCACCTATACAAACACATTCATGAGTGCATTTGACTTTCCATTGACCTCTATTGTTTGTATACTGTATGAAAATATTTAGATTTACGTTTTATTGTTAATCCCTCCACAATGTAGCTGGCTTTAGCTTTTACTTTACTTGCGGGGGGTTTTTTGGTCTCCTAGAAATGAACAATTTATCTGTGACCATATCAGTGTTGGCCCTCTTACATTATTTTGATATTTTGATATCAAAAAAAATTTTAACATTTAACATATTAACCCTGTCAATGTAGTAGTAAATCCAAATAAATGTAAGTTTAGACATTTTAGTTTAATACATGCTAAACAAATATCTACTAAAAAGTAGATAAACACCCCTTTTATACAATTTGTTAACACGCAGATCAGTGGAATGTCAAATAATGATGACTGTGAGGCCCCTGACATGATATTACTTATTCATTTATTTAAAATAAAAAAAACAGACACTGTTCTGATAACTGGAAGTCAGTGTCAGTGTCAATGTTTATTATTATTATTATCAATACTAATTTTATTTATTTGTTATTTTAAGTTAATTAATATACATATTAGGGTGGAAAATTTGTAAATATTCTGTATTTTGTGTTGTTCCTTTGGATAGTACAACAAAATTGAATTAAAAAAAAGAAAAAAAGAACTGAAACTAAACATTTATCAGTTATCAAGATAAAAAAAAACATCAGAATAGTAGTCAAATTTAATTTGATGCTAATAAAGATTTTTTTAGTTTTTAAATTTAGTTAAACAATATCAGATACTGTTCTGATAACTGTAATTAATTTTTTTATCTTTCTTATCATCATTAGTAATACTACTTACTTCATAACTTATGTTATTGTTACTATTATTTTAATTAAATTATTTTATATGCTGGATTTGAAAAATTCTAACCGTTCCATCTTGTGTTGTTCCTTTGGAGAGTATAACAAAATTGAATAAAAATAGAATTGGAAAAAAACGTAACACTTATCAGTTATCTAGATGAGAAACATGTCAGAATAGACGTCATATTTAATGTGATGCTAATAAAAATATTTTTATTTGTGTTTTTATTAGGGATGTAACGATTCACTCAACTCACAATTCGATTCACGATTTTGATTTGATAAATGAAAAGGTGTCGTTTTATTAGGCTATTGCTGCACGTTGATTTGTGAAATTGAAATATAACAAAAATAAATAGAAATTTTAAAACAAACAAGTTACACAAATAAAATAAATTTCTTAATATGAACAAAAGGCCTGGACACACCAAGCCGACTTCAAAGAACTAGCAGCGACAAAAGCCGACGGTGTTGTCGCCTCGCGTCGGCAGCGTCGGACCAAAAAGCGTCGCTCGAACACACCGCACAGACTACAGCCGACAAGCAAACTAACACGTGCGTTCTGCGCATGCGTGAGAGGAATTAACTGTCTATATCAGCAGCTATCAATAGTACATATTCATCATTCAAAATGAGAAACCGAAACAAAGATATGCGAGATAAACGCAGATATACGAAACGTAAACAAAGCAGCGCTTGCTTACCATTTTGCATATCAGTAACGTTGATAACTTTAATCATTTTAAGTGACTCATGTTGTTATGAAAACATTTGCGTTTTAGAATGATTGGGAAAGATCACGTAACATTTAAACAGCCTTCTGTCTGTACCGCCTTCATTTAGGTGCTTGTTTTCATCACTTTCGCTTTAATTCTCGGGCACTGACTCGTTCGCTAAACTGAACATCCAATCAGAGCTCTCACTTGCGCCGACGGCCGACCGTCTGCTTAGTGTGTCCTGGCCTTAAAGGGGTTAGTTCACCCAAAAATTTTAATTAGCTTGTGTTTTACTCGCCCTCGAAGCATCCTAGGTGTATATGACTTTCTTCTTTCAGATGAATCCAGTCGGAGTTATATTAAAAATTGTCCTGGCTATTCCAAGCTCTATCATTGCAGTCCGCGGGTATTGTAGTTGAACGGTCCTCAAGTCGTCAAATAAAGCTCACGCATTCGTAATAAAACGTGACGCAGACTGCTCCAGGGGATGAATAAAGGCCCCCTGTAGCGAATCCATGTGTTTTTTAAAAGAAAAATATCCATATTTCAAACGTAATAAACACTTTTCTCTCGCTTCCGCTGACTGTCATACACTGAAGCAGTTCTGGCGGAAGGCGTATGGCGTATGAGCAGCGCGCGCCTCTGAGATATGCTAGTCTCATGAGTTTGTTTATAGGAGCAAGGGAAGCAAAGTTTCCTTACTTTAGCAAAGGAAAACCAGTCTCCTCTTGGCTTATATCGAAATCCTCTGACATTTTTCTTTGCAAATCCTCAGTTTGTACTTCTAATTCGTGACCGGCGTTTTGTTTTGTTCTCTCTCTCCGCATTCGTCACTAATCACGCAACGCCGACGTGCTACGCCATCAGTGTTTGGGCAAGTGACTTCCAAAATGTAATACATTATATATTACTAGTTACTGTCTTTTGAAAGTAATTAGTTACATTACAATATTACTGTCTCTGAATTGTAATGCGTTACACTACTTTTGAGTTACTTTCACCAAAATATCCACAGAAGTATTATAAAATGCCAAAATGTAGTTTATTGCTGCTCATTCTACACCCAGTGGAGGGTAATGTGGTAGGTCTATATAGCATACAATTATAAAATCATATTTAAATGCCGGTATGTAGGTCTACATTAATGTTACATTGTAGTTTAGGTTAAACACAGATAAGCAGAAACCACATTATTACATTCATAAATAACACCGGTAAATAAAGCGAAATGTTATAATGTACAAACAATAAACACAACACCTAGCCTATAGGCAAATTTGAACGGTTTCAGAAGAAAACAAGAATGAAAAATATAAGTTGCTAAACAAGCCAAAACGAATTAGGCTAATCAGTGGCGGCGCTAGGGCGGGGCTTGACGGGGCCCATCAGAAACTTGCTTAGCCCGGGCACAGCCCCCCCCCCAAGGATTTCCTAATGATGTTCCCCTGTTTTTGATGTTACTTTCATTAACATTAAAAAAATAAACATTAAAAAAATGCCTAATATGTGGCCTATAAACGATTGATATTATGGGGGCGGGGTCAAGCAACAAAAGCAAGCAACACGCAAACTGTGCGCAAGAGTTATGCCGGTGAACGTTAGTTAATTCACTATAGAGAAAGTGAAAGTAAAAAATAAAAAAAAAACGTACGGAGCTTTCTAACGCTGCATTAACATCGCATATTCTCTGAGACAACAAGAGACAAAATTACTTCAATATAAAGAGCAGGGCAGAATTTTTTCTCTGGTGCTGTTTTGCGGTGTGAGTAATATGTTGTTGTAACTTGCGTTACTGAGATTGTAACGACTAATAATATTACCCAAATTTTATTAGTAATATGTTATATTACTGCGTTACAGCAAAAAGTTATATACTACTGTAATATTATTACTTTTGTAATGCATTACTCCCAACACTGTACGTCATCCTGATTCAGTGTATGACAGTCAGCGGAAGCGAGAGAAAAGTGTTTATTACGTTTGAAATATGGATATTTTTCTTTTAAAAAACACATGGATTCGCTACAGGGGGCCTTTATTCATCCCCCGGAGCCATCTGCGGCACGTTTTATTATGAATGCGTTTCTAACGCTGCATTAACATCGCATATTCTCTGAGACAACAAGAGACAAAATTACTTCAATATAAAGAGCAGGGCAGAATTTTTTCTCTGGTGCTGTTTTGCGGTGTGAGTAATATGTTGTTGTAACTTGCGTTACTGAGATTGTAACGACTAATAATATTACCCAAATTTTATTAGTAATATGTTATATTACTGCGTTACAGCAAAAAGTTATATACTACTGTAATATTATTACTTTTGTAATGCATTACTCCCAACACTGTACGTCATCCTGATTCAGTGTATGACAGTCAGCGGAAGTGACAGAAAAGTGTTTATTATGGATATTTTTCTTACAAAAACACATGGATTCGCTACAGGGAGCCTTTATTCACCCCCCGGAGCCGTCTGCGGCACGTTTTATTATGAATGCGCGAGCTTTCTCTGCAACACCCGCTGACTGCAATCATAGAGCTTGGAATAGCCAGGACAATTTTTAATATAACTCCGACAGGATTCTTCTGAAAGAAGAAAGTCATATACACCTAGGATGCTTCAAGGGTAAGTAAAACACATTTTTGGGTGAACTAACCCTTTAAGGCTTTGTCTGTGCTCTTTCCATTAAAAATGAGAGGCAACCACTGGATTTTAATCATGATCCAAACAAAGATGCAACATGAGTAGTTTTTAATCTAAATTAGACTGTATAATTTCGAAATTTGAAGCAAAAACAGAATGGTCTGACTTTAGTTTTGTGAAACTATACTACATAAAACCTATCTGAACGAAACAGCAGACGAGCCCAAGTATTCACTCTCTGACAGCAGGTGGCGCTTATGAACAGCAATGATACAGTGCTTCCTGGATTACCGCTGTAAACAAAGCAGAGCTGCGCTTACGAACACTACTTTAATATGCATTGTTCAGGAGTAAGATGAAAAGAAAATACCACATAAACCTTTCTAAAGACAGTCAGTTCCCCTCAAAGATACATTCATATAAACTCCTACTCCAATTGTATCACAATTTGTTTGGCATCTCAACCGATTTGAATAGTCACATATTTGAATCGATTTTCAACCGGCTCGCGGTTAATCGTTACATCCCTAGTTTTTATTTATACACTGTAAAAAATGACCGTGAATTTAACGGTAAAAGACTGCTAAATGGTTAACAGTAAATTCCCCTACTATATACAGTGAAAAAACTGTATTGGACATTAATTTTACGGTAGTGTACCGTTTTTGGAAGTGAAAAAGACTGTATAATTTACAGTGAATAACCGTAAATTGACATTCCCAGAATTCCCTGCGTTACATTTCAAATTTGATGTTTTGTTGTTGAAATAACTGTTTCTTCTTAGTTTTTTCTTATCAGTTTTGTATATTAGGGTTGTGTGTTACACCTAATGTTGTTAAATGAATGTTTATTGCATTATTTCAGTTTCATGTGTGTTACCGTGATGGTGTTTAGTGTTTGTGTGAACAACACCGTGCACCTTCTATATATGTCATTATTTAAAAGCTGCCTGTGATGGGCTTTGGCTCATCATGTGACTTTCTCATCACCTCCTGCATTTGGTGGTTATCAGTGTATTACAAAGGTTCAAAACAGATTTCAGTACTTCAATAGGTTGGTATATTAACATTATATCAGTTAATAAAATTACGGTATTTAACTGTAAACTTAAGCTAAAACCGTAAAACCTAAAACGTTGCTACCGTATTTTTTACGGTAAAATCCCGGCAACCGTTTTTTTACCGTAGATTTTACAGAATTTTTTTTACAGTGTATTTTTTAAATATTTAAAAATAATAAAATATACTATTCTGATAACTGTAGTTTAAGTTATGTTCTTGTGTTTATTATTATTTATTTATTTATTATTAATGTTTTTTTTATTTGATTATTATACATGTTAGGATGGGAATGTTGTAATTGTTTTGAATTTTGTATTGTTCCAGTTTAATACAAAAAGAATCTAAAAAACTAAAAATGTTCATTCTTTATCGAGACCTCCATAAAACCTCAAGAAAAGTTCTGTCTCACTATGTGGTTTGGAATCTGAAGCAGTGCTGTGCATTGATGGAAATTGGTCTCATCCTCACCCAGTATGAGCTCTGTGCTGGGAGTGCTGCTGGCCGAACCCTGACTGACGGCTGCATCGCTGCAGCCCGAGATCCCCGAGAACTTGGACTGCACGACCACCTCCAGGTGATTATGGGAAGGCTGGCTGTGCCACTGAGAGAAACCATCAGACAGATCTGCCGGAGAGAGGATTCAAGTATGACAACATAAGACTAAACAACTAATTTTTACTTAAATCTGGGGTTTGAACCTAGAACCTTGCTTACCTGTGCGAGTGTGTGTGTTGTTCAGGTGGCTGTGTGTGTGTGAGCCGAGGACGGTGAAAGCGCTGCAGTAGAGGCAGTTCTGCTCTGTGTGCTCCTGTAGGCCTGTACTATCGTCTCCCAGCAAGTGGTGCTGTTCTGACCGGCTGCTGTTTAACAGCTCTGTTATACTCATCTGTGGCTTTAGTGCAGGACCATGACACGACTCTAAGAAACCCACAAGAACAGACACAAGAAACCCACCGATTTGTTTAATATATATATAGAATTATATACACTAAACAAAATCTTGCTAACTCCAAAATGGTAAAGAAATTTGTACTTTTATTCAGCAAGGACACCTTAAATTGATCTAAAGTGACAGTAAAGACGTTTATAATGTTACAAAAGATTTATAATTCAAAATAAACGCTATTCTTTTGAACACTGTATTCAACAAAGAATCCTGGAAAAAATGTATCACCGTTTCCACAAAAATATAAAAAATCGATGATAATAATAATAAGAAAAGTTCCTTAAGCAGCAAATCAGCATATTGGAATGATATCTGAAGGATCATGTGACACTGAAGACTGGAGTAATGGTGCTGAAAATTCAGCTTAGCATCACAGAAATACATTTTAATTTCAAAATATATTCCAATATATTTAAATAGTTCCTTAAAATGGTGATAATATTTAATAATATTACTGATGTTACTGTATTTTAGATCAAATAAATGCAGCCTTGGTGAGCATAAGAGACTTCTTCAAAAACATTAAAAAAATCTTACCAACCCCAAACTTTAGAATGGTAATTCGTATTTAATTATTAAAATTACTATTATTATTACTAGTACTACTGATAATAATAATAATAATAATAAAAATACAGAATAATAAAGGTGATGCTACAAGCAGTCATACCATCAGATTCTCCAAAAAGAAATTTGGATGATTTTTCTCCAGCAGGAGGGCTTGTTCTCTTCTGGAAATATGATGTTTCTTTAATCTAAAAATAAAGCAAAATCTTATATGTAAACAAAAATTTACACTCAACGATTAAAACAGTCATTTTCCCTACCTACAATTTTTTTTTTTTTAGCTTTCTACAAAAAAATAAGCTAAGAACAGAACAAACTGTACATGAAACATGTGGTTGATGTCCAGGGGCAGTGCCAGGCCGATGTAGTCCTCACTGCAGCCGAAGGTGGCGCTAGAGACCATGGAGCGCAGGGAAGAGCAGCGCTGCAGGGTGGAGTGATTGATCGGACTCAGCAAGTCCTCCTTATCCAGAGACGCAAAACTCAGAGCTTTCAAAAACCTGTGAGGAGAGCAAACACAAGCACACGCGCTGCAAAACATTAGCGTTAATCCTATAAACCTTTCACTTTTATTAGTACGGTCAACAAATGTTCAGAAAAACTGCTACTAATCAACACTTACGACTGAAACAACTAAAAACAACTACTCCTGGACATCCACCTTTATGCAGAAATTAATTTGAATCCTGCCACAAAGCACCCAGCTGTAATTCTGTGTGAACACAAAGGCTGTATCCCAATACACAAACTAAATAGTATGCAATAGTATGCAAACAGTATGCAATATAGTAGTGCTTACCAAATTATAGTATGAAGAAAATAGTAAGCTAGGATGATTTTGCGAATAAGCCGTTTCTGCTGGATTTTATCATTATAAACATGATAAGTCACGAACATGATGTATCCAATAAGAAGAACTAGACACTGTCCCAACTGGACTATCTAAAAGCGTGTGAATAAGGGTGCAGCCAAAGATGTTACTAAGCTGTTTTAGTTGTTTGAGTCGAGGTGGAATTGGATTCAGCACTACATCAACCAGGTTTGCGGTTTTCCTAAAGGACTGTTTCCACAAGCATCTGACCTTTTGAGTCTTTGAGGTGCATTAGTATCTTGTGACTCACCCGTCATAAAATGTGACTGAATGAGTGAAAGATGGTGAAAATATTTGGGGGAAAATAACAGTGGAACTGTAGTCACATGGGACAGGACGTTGCCTTGTACTCTACAGTAGGGCTGCACGATTCTTGCTAAAAAGTGAAGCACGGGAATTGAGATCACGATTCTTTCACACAATTCTAATTTTTTCAACCAAAACATTTATTGCACTCGAGCAAAAAAAAAAAAAAAGAGCTCTCTATACAGGACTTTCAGTTATAATAAAGTTCTAGACTTATTTTAGACCCCTTAAAGTGAATAACTTAAAAGCTGTAAGCTGTTGAACATAAATAATTAAAATGTAAACAATAATAATTAAAAAAACTAACATTATAATCGGCTGATACCGATCCCAATACAAGTGATATGTAAGCTCTCTGTTGACTTTCACTGTTAACCTTTTTTTACAGATAAAATAATATCACAGATGCTGCCTTCATTGTATTATTTACAGTAATGTTGTTTATTGTTGTATTAATTGAGAAATAAGCACAACAAATACTCATTTTACAATGAACATTCTAATAGGCCTTTAAAAACTGAGCTTTCACAAAACTATCTATATTAAGATACTTCGGCTTATTAAAAACCTGATGTTAAACTGAACAAAACTGTAACCCATTAAGTGAGGGCCATCAGTCATTGCAGTTAAGGTCTCTGCACACTGAGTCCGAATTTTTCGTCCGAAATTTTTGCACGTTGAAAAATAAATACGACCTCACGTTGTGTCAATCACGTTTACACACTGCCTCCGAAACTTTCATCCGTCATAAAAAAATTCGGACCAGGTTCGATTTTCTGCGTTTTCGCATCCGTAGCAAGCATTTTGATAGGAAAGGATGACGAATACGAAGAAAAAAACCCCGGAAAAACACAAAAATTTCGGACTCAGTGTGCAAGGACCTTTACATTGTTAGGGACTGTCTTTATTAATGCGTCATCATTAAACCATCTATTCAACGAATACACTTAAAACGCAGATTCATTCTTGTATTAAGGTGTTGAAATTAATTTAACTTTGAGCGCCACTTTCCAAGCGTAAATCGAACAGCAACACATCATGCACTGAACAGCACTGACACAGGAGATCCCCTTACTACAACAAATATATCGCTTTCATCTTCTGACAACTGATATTGTTTCACTAATATATGTGACCCTGGCCCACAAAACCAGTCTTAAGGGTCAATCTTTTTGAAAATCAATAAGCTTTCCATTGATGTATTGTTTGTTATGATTGGACAATATTTGGCCGAGATACAACTATTTGAAAATCTGGAATCTGAGGGTGCAAAAAAATCTAAATATTGAGAAAATCGCCTTTAAAGTTGTCCAAATGAAGTTCTTAGCGATGCATATTACTAATCAAAAATTAAGTTTTGATATATTTACAAAATCTCTTTATGGAACATGACCTAATGATTTTTGGCATAAAAGAAAAATCTATCATTTTGACCCATACAATGTATTTTTGGCTATTGCTACAAATATTCCCCAGCGATTTAAGACTGCTTTTGTGCTCCAGGGTCACATAAGACAGGGCAGACGCATGAAATTGCACACGCTCAGTTCCCCAACACGTGAATGCAGCGTGATCTGAATGCAGGGAAATAGGTGCAAGTGAATCACCGTCATTTAGAAATGAGATCGCATTTCTGTATGAATCGAGATCTAAGTATCAATTCCAATTGAATTATCATAAAGGGAGTAAAAACAATCATGATCTATAAATGGTAAAAAAAATAAAAAAAGTGGTACTATTCACCCATATGTATACACGCATGTAAAATACTCCAAGATAAATATGCATCATATTTAGTAGTTAAATGAAAGACGAAAAAGTATCAAATGAATGCTGTGTACCTGCGTGGGGTGAGCCGTGAGTCGAGGCTGCGTGTTTTCATGGTGATGGTGTCTGTAAACAGCACATCTTTAGCGGGAGACGCCAGCGCTTCGCTGTGTGAGAGAGACGGGTGGATCCTCTGCTGCTGCAGCCGTTTCAGCGTGGCGTATCCCAGCGCATCACGGTGGCTCGTGTAGATGTAGCTGCAGTCCACCAGGCTCTTGATCGTGGCCACCGAGGGCGACTTCAGCGAATGCGCCCTGCGCGGCAGCGTGTGTGCCGACCCCAGAGGAACCAGCGAGGTGGAATTGGACTTGGACAACAGGATGTGGTTGTGGTTGGACTGAGGACTGAGCGAGTGTTGCATTTTCACAGTTTTGGCGCTGACCACCGTGTTGAGGCTGGCGCAGTCCGTATCCATGGCGATGGAGGAGGCGGGCTCTCGGGAAGGGGATGAGCTCATGGAGCTGATGCCACTGGTGGTCGTGTCCGTGTTGAAGCTATGACTGCGGCTCTTAAACGTGCCGCCGCCTGGCATCACGGAGGCGCCGTCGCCCGGGGTCACGGCCTTATGTTGACCAGTGCCGTCCAAATAAGAGCATCCCTCAGTGCCATACGGCTCTGCTAGTGCTTTTATACCCACAAACGAAGTCTCAAGGCTGACCGTTGGGCTGCGAGGCATGCGACTGCCATTATAAAAGACCTCGCTCTGCCCCGATTGGCCTGGAGAATAGTTAGAGAGCTCTGTTATGGTCCGGTTGCGCCGCATGAGCCGGAGCTCCTCGGGAGATTTTCCCGCGTTTGTCGTGCCTTTAGTGTCACTGGGGCTCCGTCCCTTCTTACTGGGCAGAGACAGGGAGTTCAGAAAGCGGTTTCGGAGATGTGAAGGGGTCAGAATGGTGAAGGGGCTTCTGTCCTTTGAGGTTTTTGTGTGCATACTGAGAGAAGAGTCCTCGTACATGTCCAAACCCTCGCGATCGTCATCCACGAAATACAAACCTAAGAGCGAAAAGTACAGTATCACAATGGATGTAAAACACAAAACAACAGATTGCAATGGCTATTTATGCATACATTTGTTTGTGTGCATGTTTTTAACTAAACTATTAAAATAGTCTTAACTGAAATAAAGCTGAAATAAAATAAAACAAATAATAGATGAAAAACTTGAAATGAAAATGTGAAATTTTGCCTTGGCAACTAAAAAAGAAAAGAAAAACAAGTTTAAGGTGAAGTGCTAAAATTAGTAAGTATTAAATAAGTATTAAAATAAATAAACTTAATAATAAAAAAAGCATATAACAAAATTACTAAAACTAAAATTAAAATGAACACTGAAAATATTAAAAAGCTAATTCAAAATATTAATAAATAATATTAAATAATACTGATTACAATCAGCATGACATAATTCATAACCCAATTTACTTCCATAATCTGACATACTAGTGAGCGAAACAAGAGATTCAATTAAATCAAGCACAAAAACAAAATAGTAAACACTGCAAAAAAATATTTTGTCAATCAGTATTTTGTCTTGTTTTCCAAAAAAAATTTAATGAAAAAATAAAATACTTATCTAAAAAAACAGCTTTCTAGCTTGCTTTCAAATCAAGTTTATTATTAATACTGTAGTATATTACAAATAGGCATATCGTTGGCTCTAGGACTAATTGCTTTTGTTCCTCTTTTGTAAGTTGCTTTGAATAAAAGCATCTGCTAAATGTATAATGTAAATGTAAACATCCTTTAAACAAGGTCAATTTACTTTAAACAAGAAATAAAAACTAATAAATAAAAAAAAAATGAAATGTAACATGTTTTCAGAGAATTCATCTTGAAAGAGTAGTATTTTCTATCTTCCTCCATTGGCATAATTAGTGAATTTAGAGATGTGGTGCAAAATGATCAAGTATAACTGATGATAGAACCTCTCTAAACAATTATGCAACTACTAAATCTATCTCGCTTAAGGATATTTAGATATTTTACTTGCAAACAAGGGGGTTGACATGTTAAGCATGTGCATTGACTCACTGGGCTGACTTTCGCTCTCGCTGTTGTGGCGTGAGCTGGTGGACTCCGAGTTGAGGCTGAGCGTGCTGGGCACTGATGACAGTTCGCTGGGTAGCGGAGCATCCACTTCATCAGGGACGACAGGCCACTGCTGCCTGCGGCTGTGCCGAACGGAGTCCCATCCCAAAGCCTTCAGCACATCACTGCCCTGCCGTGTGCGGCTGATCACGCCCAGCACATACACACACGTACTGCACAGACAGCACTGCTTGTTATTTACTGGATATATGCTGCAGGTTTATTGCTATTTGGACTACTATTATTTAAGTTATCTGTCCACATACAGTCAAACTTGGAACACTCTGGCAAATCAAAAATATACTGAGAGTGTCAAAGCAAAAGGAAGAGGAAGGTTTAAAAGTGCTCAACTTTGTAAAGCATAAAAAATGTTGCTGTTTGACTTGACTTGACAAAGTTCAAATTATCCATTTGAAATGAGACAATGTTTCAGGAATTTCTGGTTAAACACTACAGTGCAAGAGTTTGGGGTCAGCATGATTTTTTAAATGTTCCTGAAAGGTCTCTTATGCTCACCAAGGTTGCATTTATTTGAGTGAAAATACAGTAAAAACAGTGAAATATTACTACAATTTAAAAGAAGCGTTTACGATTGTAATACATTTTAAATTGTAATTTATTCCTGTGATGCAAAGCTGAATTTTCAGCATCATTACGCCAGTCTTCAGTGTCACATGATCCTTCAGAAATCATTCTAATATGCTAAAATATTTTTGTGGAAACGGATTTATTTTTCAGGATTCTGTGCTGAACAGAACATTCAAAAGAACAGCATTTATTTGAAATAGAATTATAAATGTCTTTACGGTTACTTTTGATCAATTTAATGGATCCACACTGAACAAAAGTATCAATTTCTTAACAAAAAAAAATCTTACTGATCTCAAACTGCATGTAAACACTGTTTTTTACATCAAGCTAGTAGACACATTTTAAAGTCGTGACCTTGAAAGATCTTACAGAATGAATATATATTGGATTACACTATGTTACGTATCTGCCCCTTGCTAGCATGTGTATTATTCCCACAGATTCTGTTCATGTGCATTAAGTTGTAAATAACCAAATACATTCCTAAATTAGGCAGTCTTACCCACGTATGGACAGAACCTCACAGTGCTGAGCCAGAACAATAATATCTGGAATCACGTTCTCCTCCTGTAGGAGGTTCAGACCCCAGTTTGAGCTGCCAATGTTGCCCTGAAATATTAAAAAAAGACAAATATTAAAGCCAAAAACTTGCTTACAATGAAACCAGAGACATTCAAGGAGATCCTAGTACAAACAGTATGCAAAAACAATCACTGACCAGAGCCCATAGAGCCGCCTTCAGCTGTTTAATGCCTTCCCATTTATCCAACACTGGAGATCGGACTGTGTAGCTGAGATCCGGGATAACACCCTAACAAACACACAAAGATTAACACATAAGTGCACAAAAACAAACAATGCTACACAGCCATAGCAAGCAGCATACGTGTAATTGGGTACCTGAGCTTCCAGCAGCAGGCAGCCGGTTTTATCATGGACCAACTGCCCATATAAATGCACAGGGAGAAACACATTTGGCCTCTGTAACCTATAAGATAAATGTTTTGATTTAAAAAAAGTATACATTATGTTAATATATATTCATAACAGTGTTATTTTAGCTATTATTTATCTATAGCTTTTATTGTTTAGAGTTTTCATTTTCATTTTGAGCCAGGGAAGCTTTTATAATTTATTATATTTTTTATTTTATGTCAATTATCGAAAACGATTGTAATAGTTTTAGTTTTAGTTAACAATAACATCTTTAAAGGGGTCATATGATGCGATTTCAATTTTTCCTTTCTCTTTGGAGTGTTACAAGCTCTTGGTGCATAAAGAAGATCTGTAAAGTTGCAAAGACTAAAGTCTCAAATCCAAAGAGATATTTTTTATAAAATGTAAGAGTCAGCCACGCCTACCTAAAACGGCTCGTTCTAACACGCCCCCACATATCTACGTCACGATGTGGGAAGATTTGCATAACGCCGCCCAAATGTTCACACAAAGAAAGAAGGCGTAACTTTTATTCTCGTATTGTTGCTGCAGCCATGTCGTGAAGGCGCAGTGTTTCTCGTTGTGAAAGCGAAACTACTTTGTTTGGCCTTCCAAAAGAGGACGATATCGATAAAAGCGGAGTCAAACACATGTGGTTACCGCAAGCCCGCTGGACGCTCTTTCGTCGAATCCTCCGGCCGCAGCTTACACTCAAGGTGTGTGACGCTGTGTGTTTCATTGTGAAAGCGAAACTACTTTGTTTGGCCTTCAAAAAGAGGACACGACTAGAAATCAGTGGTTAAGTTGTATTTACAACACTGTTCCAGAACACTTCAACCCAAATATTCAGATATGTGCAGCACATTTTATGGAGGACTGTTTCCTGATCCTGGTAGAGTAGACTACAATGCCGGCTGTTCTGACTCAAAGACTGTTAGTACGTTTTTTATATATAAAGAATTTGCCACTGACGATTCAAACGCGAGTTTTGAGCAGTGTAGAGTAGCACTTGTTGTTTGTCATTTCTCTGATCACAAACGCAGACATGGTTTTATGTTTATGTTTACGCGGCGCGATGCAAAGCGTAAAAAGACAGTACAAGTCATTATAATCCGTAATTATTTCCCCACTGGATGCAACAAATGCCTCGTTTATAATGAGTTTTAATGTTTTTGTCTCGTCGCTCCGGCCGGACAGGGCATCACAGTATGGTAATGGCGTAACATTTCCGTCACACGCTTGAGGTATTCGGCCAATCACAACGTACTGGATAATAGCTGGCCAATCAGAGCACACCTCGCTTTTCAGACCGATGAGCTTTGTAAAAATGGAAGTGTTTCAGAACGGCGGGGCATAGAGGAGAAACAATGTACAGTATGTGGAAAATAATGTTTTTTGAACCTTAAACCGCATAAACACATTTCATTACACCAAATACACAAAATTATGTTTTTTTAGCAGCACCATATGACCCCCTTTAATTCATGCCTAGGGTCAAGGACTTGTTCAAATCACTAACGTTGAAGGGATAGTTCAACCAAAACTTAAAATTTTTATTTTTCTATTCCTCATTGAGTCTCTTTCTTCTGCTGGACATGAAAGAAAACATTCTGAAGAATGTTGTTAACCACACAGTTGATGGTAGCCATTGACTTCCATAGTATTTTTTTCTATACTATGCAAGTCAATGGCAACCATCAATTGTTCTTCAGAATATCTTCAGAATATCAGAAACGCATACAGATTTGGAACAACTTGAGGATGAGTAAATGATGACAATTTTCATTTCGGGTGAACTATCCCTTTAAGTATGCGCAATAGTATTAGTAATTTGCTAATATATTAATAACTGACTTCTTTAATCACAAGCCCTTTATCAAGGAGTGCTAAGACCTTTGGTTGCTGCGGCGGACGTAGTTGTCTCCATTAACAGGTTTGCGGTATGTTGTAAGAGCTTCATTCAACTGCTCCTCAATCATGTCCACATACTTCAGATTATACTCCTGCAAAAACACACACGGCTCAATACATCTACATTCAAGAGAAACAAACACAGACACAGGCGTCAAACCACAGGTTGAGAAAGAGTCACTGCTTTGATGCTTTCACCTTCTGCCATTTATCGAGCTGTTTGTTGACGTAGCCTCTTTCATTGAGGTAAGAGAAGCCCTTTGGGATGGACAGGAACCTACAGAGGAGAGCAGAGAGACATTTAGCACATTACATTTATTCTTTTAGCAGATGACTTACAAACGAGGAGTACAACAACGTATGAGCTTATTTAAATATTTAATGTTATACCTTTAACAGATTCAGATATTGTCTTTATGTATGACTGCTCAATAACTTCATAAAAAAATGTAAATACACAAAACACATTTCAGAATTGTATTATTTAAAATGTTTTTTTTTTATCATCAACAAATCCTCTGCAGTTCACTCATGAACCCCAGTTTGAGAAACTAGCTAAAATGTTTCTTTTTAAGCGATACATTCATGTAGCAAACACACTTAAACTGAAAAGCAAGACTGTTTTACCTCAACAGCAGCAGAAGGCCTTTCTCTCCCAGGTGAGACAGAGCTGGTTTCATGTGGATCAGAGCGTGCAGGCTGGCCTGGAGTGATCACAACACAGCAGAATTAAAGAGCATTAGACTTGCTGTAAGAAACACATTTAACTGAAACAAATCAATCAGTATCGTGGGCAATATTTTATAAAATTACCAAAGTATTACATTATTTAATGCTTAACATATCACCAAAATATTTAGACATTCATCATATATATTCATATCTGAAACTACATGAACTAATGATCTGCATGTCATCCTCAACTTGCTGCAGCGGTGATGCTGATTACCTTCTCTTCACAGGCTTCGTCCAGGATGTCCAGGGCCTCCATGGAAACAGTTTTGTTGTGGTCATGCAGCTGTGTGACTAACAACTCCATCCCCCAGTTACGGAAGAACTCAACGTTAGCGCGCAGCAGCACACGCAGGTGTTTGGTGGCGTACATACGGCAGTTCTGTAACAATACAAACAGGGAGAATTGCTACAAAGTTCATCTGATATCAATCGATATTCAACTATACAGTCAGAAGCACTTGAGAAGGTTTTACAAGAATCTTATAGGATGGATATCACCGTTATCTGCCATATATCGACTCTTAAATGTCAAACAAATCTAGTTTATTTTATTATGTTTTTCAAATGAAGACTCAAAACCAGTGATATTTTAGTTTCACTAAGATACTATTATAGTTTATAGCAATATTTTGAATA